TCTCCCCCTCCTCCTCTCTCTCCCTCCCTTTCCCTCTCTCCCTCGACCTCTCCCTCTTTCTCTCCCTTTCCCTCTGCCTCTCCCTCTCTCTCTCTCTTCCTCTCCCTCTGCCTCTCCCTCCTTCTCCCTTTCCTTCCCCCCTCCCCCTACCTGGATCTTGCTATATAGTTTAGGCTGGCCCTGAATTGACTACTGTAGCTTATGCTGGCCTTGAACTCATGGTAATTCTCCTGCCTCAATCTCCAGAGTGCTGGGATCACAAGCATGTGCCAGGTCACCACACCCAGCTAAATTTTCTCATTTGTAAAACTGAGCTATAATAGTACCTTTGACTCTTATAATTGCTTAAGTTAGACAATCCATGCAAAGGGATTAGTACAGAGCCTAGAACTTATCGTTCAATTAATGTTAGCTATTTTAATTTTTGTTATATTTGTAAGGACTTTACCAGCCCTGCCTTCTAGACCCCAGCACATTTCACTTTCCCAAGAGCAAGTTAGTAATAGGTAAGACATGAAGCCAGGTCTTTTGACTCTTAGCTATAATTCCATCCATCCCATCTATCTGCTGCCACAGAATAATTTTGATTGTTGGGCAGTACTTATTACTCACATGTGGGGTCTTCCCTCCTTTTTTTGGTAGTGCTGGGAAGCAAAGCCAGGGCACTCTGCTACTGAGCTATTCCCCCTAGCTCAGCCTCATTTTTTTTTTTTTTTTTTCAGGCAGAAAGGCTAGCTTTGAACTCATTATGTAGCCCAAGCTGCCCTCGAACTTTTGGTAACCCCCCTGCCTCAGCCTCCCAAGTGCTGGGATTACAGGTGTGTACCACCACACCTGGCTCAGTTTCACTTTTTTGTATGACTGTTTTCATTTGCATTAAACTGGATCTGCTTTCCTGAGGGATGACCCAAAACATGTATTAAATGTTTATCACTAACACAACACTGTGCTAGGCAATTTCCCCTCACAATAACTTTAGAAAATAGAAATTGTTTGCTCTAATTTACAGATGAGAATCCTAAAGCTCAGAGAAGTAAAGTTACTTAACTGAGGTCTCATAGGTACTAAGTGGCAGAGTTGGGATTCCAAGCCAGGATCATCCATCTCCAAAGCCTGTATTTGTCTTGCTTCTCAGGAATGAGATTTAAGATATTTTCCTCAGGGTTAGTAGAACTATGGCAATCTTCCTGTGAGAGAACCTAGCAGGTGTGATCACTCTGCCTTCCTCACTACCCAGGTGTTCAAGCAGCCCTGGCCAGGGATCATGCGCACAGTATATGGAAACCACCCACGGTTTGAGACCACCTACTTTAAGAAGTTTCCTGGTTACTACGTGACAGGAGATGGTGAGTCTTGGCTACCCACCCCCAGTGCCTCCCATTGAGACATGTACCTTCATCATCTTCCATTTTCAGAAGAGTTGGTTGGGAATGAAGAAGCACAGAAAAGAAATATGTTTTACGTGTCAGTGTCTGGTATCCAGGCAGAGCTACAGAGAATACTGTAAGAGCAAGAATGAGTGTTGCAGGAAAGGTCTCTCAGGATGGTGCCATCTGAGATTAGTTAATGAGGAAAAAGTTTCTAGTTTCTTACTCCTGTATTTACAAAGATGGAGCATGTAGCAGTATTATTGTATCATGTGTGTCCTCATGTTTGGAGGCTGTCCATCTGTCTGTCCACCAGCCCATTCATCCATAAATATTACTGAGCACCTATAATGCCCAGGTACTGGTCTAATAAGCCTGTAAGATATTACTATGGATAACATTTAAGGTTTCTGCTCTTAGGGGATTTATATTCTAGTAAGGATAAACCAATAAACCTAGCAAACAAATAAATAAACTTATCTCAGGTAGAGATAAGTGTGGGAAGAAAATAACGTGATAAAGAAGCCAGCTGCGGCAGTACACCCCTGTAATCCCAGCACTCAGGAAGATGTGGCAGGAGAGTAGTAAGTTCAAGCCCAACATAGGCATCAGTGATTTAGCAAGGCTCTGTCTCAAAATAAAGACTGAAAAAGGGCTGGGCATATAGTTCAATGTGAAGGGCCTGGGTTCAATCTAGTATGGCAAAACAACATGATAGTATCTTCAGAGATAGCTACTTTACATAGGATGATCAGAAAACGCTTCTCTCTAGTGACATTGGAGCAGAGACCTGAGGGACGAGAAGCCAGGCATGGGGAACTCTAGAGTAGAGAGTTATGTGCAGCAGGACACAAAATATGTGAAGAATGGAATGAAGCCTGGAGTGTAGTGGCACAGGGAAGAATAATACATGAAGCTGGAAAGGTAGATAATATAGGGTCTGATGGGCCAATGTGTGCAGTTAGATTTTATTCAGAGTACAGTTGAAAACCTTTATGGGTTTTAAGCAAAGGAGTGATTAAGAATTAATTTATTACTTAGAAAATAACTGAGTTATGAAAGGTAGATTTGAGATATTGACATGGAATAAGATACCACCAAAATTGGCAGCTTAAAACAACAAATATATTATCTGACAGTTTCTGAGGGTCAGGGTCTGCAAGCAGCTCAGCTGCACGTCAGGGTATGTCCTGGACTGCAGTCATGCTGTTGGTAGGGGCTGCAGTCATCTGAAGGTTTGAGCCTGGAGGATTCACTTCCTTGCTCACTCATATGGCTGTTAGCAGGAGCCCTCAGTTCCTCACTACCTGTGCCTCTCCATAGGACTACTCACAATATGAAAGCCAAAGTATCTTCTCTGGGGCCGGGGATTTACCTCAGTGGTTCCATCACCCGCCTTGAAAGTGCAAGGTCCCAAGTTCGATCCCTGGTACCAAAAAAAAAAAAAAAAAGTGGTGCAAAGTGTCTTCTCTAACCTAATCTGAGAAGTGACATCCCATCATTTCTCCCAGATTCTGTTGAGTACACAGACTAGCCCTATACAGTATAGTGAAAAAGAGGATTATGCAGGGCTATAAATGCCAGGAGGTGGAGATCAGAGGAGCTGTCTCAGAGGCTGGCTGCCACAGTGGGCAAGAATGGTGGCAGGAAGACATGTTATATCCTATTGTGGGATATTTACTATGTTGTGCATTTCTTCCCAGGATGCCGACGGGACCAGGATGGCTATTATTGGATCACTGGCAGGATTGATGACATGCTCAATGTATCTGGTAAGGGCCCAGGACCCCCTCCCTTCTCATTTGCTCTGTTCTCCTATCAGCTCTCACCCAAAGCCTTCTGAGAGTTAAGACTGTCCTTTGGTTAGACCACATGTGGAAGGTGGCATTCAGTTCTGGACCCAGGTCTTGGAGGAAGAGTGATGAACACTGAAATGTGCCTAAAAGAGGGGACCCAGGGTGGTGAGGTACTGGAAAGCATGCCATGTGAGAAGTGAATGAAGGACCTTCCTCATTTGAACCAGACAAGGTCTGCTTTGTGGGTACAGATGGAATAAAGGCTGTGGCAAAGGCTGAGATATCTTTTATGCCATTTCCTTTCTTTTGACAAGGACACCTGCTCAGTACTGCAGAGGTGGAGTCAGCACTTGTGGAACATGAAGCTATTGCAGAGGCAGCTGTAGTGGGCCACCCTCATCCTGTGAAGGGCGAATGCCTCTACTGTTTTGTCACCCTGTGTGATGGACACACTTTCAGTCCTACCCTCACTGAGGAGCTCAAGAAGCAGAGTGAGTCTCTGGAAGGGACTGTAGGGTCTGCAAGTTGTTGGAAAGGGGCTGCAGTGAGCTATTCCCCAAATCATGAACAGATCCCAGAGGGTCCCATGGGGTGACTAATTTCTTCTGTCTCCACTGCTAGTCTCTCAGGATAATAATAGCCAGTGGGCTGGGGATATAACTCAGAGGTAGAGTGCTTGTCTACTCTGCACAAGGACCTGAGTTTGATGCCTGCATGGCAAAAGAAAAAAAAAAAGCCAACATTTGTAGAATACTTTGTCTGTACCACCACTGGCATCAGTGCTTTAAATGTATTACCCCATTTAATCCTTATAATCACTTCCATAAACAGATCCTCATGTTACTCTAGTACCTAAAGAGGAAAAAACTTCATTCACAGAAAAGTTAAACCACTTGTCCAATGCTACCTAAACTCTAGCAGTCTGGTTTCAGAGCTAGAGTTCATGAACTTGGGTTAAAATAAGAGGGTAAAGAGACAATGCATTAAAAGAGAGAAAGGCAGTGAAGCTGAGAATGACTCTGGTGGGCAGGGGACTGAAGAGGAAATGTGGGGAACAAAGCTATCTCTACTTTGGCTTTCGGGAGTTAGGCTAAAGGTGCTGAATAAATGTTTAATGATTTGTTGGTTACAGTTAGAGAAAAGATTGGCCCCATTGCCACACCAGACTACATCCAGAATGCACCTGGCTTGCCTAAAACACGTTCAGGTATGTTCAGAGGCCTCTAGGTATTGAGGTGGGCTAAGTGGTGGTGAAGTGTGTGGATCTTTGAAAGGGCTGGTGTGGGTCAGTGCTGACACCAAGTAACCAGAGGCCTGTGGTCTCCCAGGTAAAATTATGAGGCGAGTGCTTCGGAAGATTGCTCAGAATGACCATGACCTGGGGGACACATCTACAGTGGCTGACCCATCTGTCATCAGTCACCTCTTCAATCACCGCTGCCTGACCATCTAGTGAACAAGACTCTGTCCTTTACCCAAGGTTCTCCTTGCCTGGCTTTCCAGAGTTCTCCTCATCCTCCCTGCCCCCCATCCAGGAGTACCAAAGGCCAGTGCTGACCTGTACTTTGTCCCTGAGTGGAGGGTTTTCTGTGACTTCCAGGCAGAAGGGACAAGGCCCAGGTCAGCCCAGACTGATATGGGCCCAGATTGCAAAGAGCTCGCCGAGCCCAGAACAGAAACCTGAATGCCACGTCCCCAAACCAGGTTAGGTGTTCAGAGGGCATGTGAGGGCCTAGACTGAAGCAGGGGGCCAACCTTGTAATCCTCAGTCAGTTCTCACAGGAAGTACAAGTACTTATCTTTTTTTTTTTTTTTTGGTACCTGGGATCGAACTTGGGTCTTTGCGCTTGCACAGCAGGCAGCGAAACCACTGAGCTAAATCCCTACCAGTACTTATCTTAACCATGCATTTGCCTTAGAAATGACAAGTTTGTGAATCCAGAAATAATTATTATTTTTTAAAAATTTTGTTACTTCTGTTCTGTGTCTGAATTCCCTGCCAGATGGCCATCCTGGCTGCCCATGTGCTCCAGGGGCTATGCAGGTATGTTCAGTTCTGAGGGATTTCAGATCATTGGCTTCTATGAAGGAGTATTTATGTTTTGTTCCTTGGACCAGAGGAGCCTGTCTTGTCCTTTTCCCTCCTACCTGCCCCCAGGGACAGAGCCCTGCCCATGACAGACACTCTCAGATGAGACTCTCTTTTCTTTCCCAAGTCATGCTTAAGCCTCATGGTTGTAGGAATAAAGTCTGTGACCTTCAGAAGATGATGGCTGGTTTTCTTATGTATCTTTCAAGCTATGCCTCTGATGTGTGCAGCATACAGGAAGGGGAGTGGTATTCCCCAGTACTATCCTAATATTTTTCAGAACTTTTGGCTTGAATAGAGCTAGGCAGGGCTTCACTTAGGGACTTTGATAAGTCCCCAAACTAAGTAGGAGTGACTGAAGCTAGTTTACAACCAATCATAGTTGCCTTCCTACCTGGGCTCCTGTGAGGGACCCTCTCCTCCCTATGAGCCTGTGAGAGCATAAGTGGGTGACAAGGGTTGGAACTTCAGGGTCCCATCCATAGGATCAAGGTCTAAGGAGACCCTGATTATAGCTGTTACCTTCCCTGCTCCAATCCATCTTTTGTGGGGTGACCCAGATCATAGCACCCCCCAACCTCTGTACACAAAGCAACAAATCATGGAATCAGCAATGTAGTTTTATTTAAGGTAGAGCTGGGGAAAGGCTATGCCCCTCTACTCTCCTCCTCCTATTACTCGGTCCCGTCCCAAGTCAGGCACTGAAACTTGCTGGAAAGGCTGATGAGGGGCCAGTAGGAGGGTGGCAGAGTTTATGGACCTTTATGTCAAAGGAGCTTCTCTTCCCACACCCTAAGGATTTGGGGAAACACAGCTTTCCGGTCCTCAGATGGAGAATGGAGGAAGATACTCAGCATTTACCATTCCCTGAAGATCCTGGAGGTCTTAGAAGAGTCCAGCCCTCCTAAGATGGGAGGACGACAACCCCTCAGGAGGGCTAGGAGAGGAATGACAAGTGTAGGGGATAGAAGGTCTCTTGAGTGATGTCGAGGCTAGTCAGGCTGTGTCCTCACACAGGGTATGGGTTGTCCAGGACTGCGACTCCTGCTGCCACACCACCATCAGCATGCTCGATGGCTTTGGTTCGAAGTAGATGCCCCACATGCTTGTTCATCACAAGTGTCTTTCCCTGCCTACAGAAATGGGGTCAGGAGGCACACAACATCACCAAACTCAGAATGAGACCTTCCCTGGTCCCAGGTGAGCAGTACAAGGGTAATTGACTATACCTAAGAAAAGTTAACAAATGCTGGCGAGGCTGTGGGGAAAGAGGAACACTGCTCCACTGCTGGTGGGAGTGTTGACTGATGCAACCACTGTGGAAATCAGTATGGAGAT